TACATACCTATAATGTTATGTTGACACATTACCCCACTGTGCAATATTATGTTGCATAGATGTTTTAAATCAAGTTAATAATTTAATTATTTTAAAACGAAAAAAAAGAAAAAATAACATTCAACATTGGGAATTGAACCTCTGCTAGATGATAATCTCCATATCTACCTAACTAACTGACCTACGCCTAACACCTACTAGCCTACACCTAACATGAGAAGTACTTTGTAAAATTGTTGTATTTATACCTATACTATACTATTTTCAGAATCGTATTTTTACAGCAAAGATTAAAGACTATTTCGAGTTCGCCAGACATTAGTATTGTTGTAATAAAAAGTTATTTTATAAAATAAAGATTAAGATACTCTATATTATAAAGTGGATACCATACATTTCTTTTTTTTAATACTTCACGGAGAAAAGAAAATTAGACATATCTTCATTATGTGAACATAATTACTAATTAGGTAGGTTACCTACCTGCTTAACATAATGTGAACCACAATAATTGTATTTTGTGTCATAATCGTACAAACAAATAAAATAGGTGGCAAATTTAGTTATATAGATATGTTCATCATAATCAAATTCCATTTTTTTTAAGTAGGAAATAGACACATAATTAAACATTCATTATGTATATTATAAACGCACGCCAACAGTATGATGTCTACTCGTATGTGAATGTGAGCAGTTTTGAACTGTTAGAATACGCCAATCATGAATAACATTTTGATTCCAAATTTAGAAGTTACAACAAATGTTTAAAATCTATTTAGGTAGTCGAAAATAAATGTAAACCGGTATTATGACGGCACTTGAAAAACTATTCTGAGTAAAAGATATCGAATGGGTCAGTTTATTTATAAATTATTTGAAATTTGTAAGAAACAGCTTCATGATATCGTATACATGTTTCATTGTAATATCATGTCACTGATAAATCATAAACATTTAAAGAATGTTAGTTGTTGACACGAAAAATATTATTTTTATAAAACAGTTATAGAATATTGTGCTGATGTTAATTGGTAATGTTTTCTTGAAACCTGAATTCAACATAGCATCAATGTTTTGTAACTTTCAATGCACAGTGGGTTCAACTCCGGAAACAGTGACTAAAATCAACCAAATTGTGCGTGCAGATCGTCGAAAAAGCATCCGAATAATTTCCGAGGCTGTAAACACCGATAAATAAACGGTTAGAAAAATTTTACATGAGGAATTACACATGAAAAAAGTCTGTGCGAAGTTGGTGCCAAAAAACCTGACTCCTGACCAAAAGCTCTTGCGTCAACAGGTCTGCTCAGATTTCCTTGAAAGGTTAGAAGAAGATCCCAGACTGATGAAAAACATTATTACTTGCAACGAAATGTGGATTTTTCAATACAATGTTGAAACAAAGCGGCAATCGATGCATTGGAAGACGTCTGAATCGCCCAGAATCAAAAAAGCAAGGATGTCCAAATCAAAATTCAAGGCAATGTTAATCGTTTTATTTTGACGTTAACGGTATTGTGATGACTGAATGGGTTCCAGAGGGTCAGACTATCAACCAGACTAACTATTTATCAGTTTAAGCAATACTGCGAGAACGAGTTCGTAAGAAACGGCCCGAGTTCTGGAAGAACAACTCGTGGATTTTGCACCAGGACAACGCACCTGCCCATCACGTGCTATCTGTGAAGCAGTATTTGGCCGGTAAGCGCATTCCAGTGCTCGAACATACGCCGTATTTACTAGATTTGGCACCGTGTGACTTTCTTTTGTTTCCAAAGATAAAATCTACTTTGAAAGGGACCCGATTTGAGTCGATGGAAGCGGTAAAGCAAAAAACGGCAGAGCTCCTAAAGGCCATTACCAAAGAAAACTTCCAGCTTTGTTTCAATCAATGGAAAAAACGTATGGAAACGTGTGTGGCGAAGGGAGGGGAGTACATTGAAGGGGAGCATTCGAATGTAGAATAATTTTTATAATAAAACCATTTTTCGTAATCAGTCTCGTTATTTAATAGCCTGACCTCGTATATATCGATAAAGTAACAATAAATATGTCTAAATGGTATGAGGCGGCAGTTACCCGGTCGACCGTATCACGTACGTACTACGTGACTTTGTAATTTTTTATTAAGTATTCACTTGTAAAATACAAATTATTAATATTTGATTATTGTAAGTAACGACTCACCCTACTCATCCAATCTGTCCAAAAATGTTTAACAATTATGTGATGCATAATATTATACCAATGTATTTAAAGTATTGTATATTTTTCAAAATAAGAGAAACATTTAAGGAGGTGGAGGTTTATAACTCGTAAATCCCACCTGCGACACTACTTAACTGAGTACAAGTGTATCGTGCACACGAAAAGCTTTAAGACCGTGAAAAAACTCACTCGCACCACATATTATATCGTAGTTCCGTCCAAATTCTTATGCTTCGGTTGTAACAAAAAATATCATATTGAAATATTATGATATTTTCTATTTACAAAAACGATTGGACAATAATAAAATATACTAACGATCTTTTAAAAGAATTTTGCAAATGCGTTTTAAAATCATGTAAATTTAACCACAATAACTGTTTAATAAAATTACTTATGGAAAATTTTCGTTTTAAATTTACAGTCAACTTTTAGTTGGGATACGAAAATAGATAATGGAATAATTAAAATAAAAAAGGAGATAAAAATAAAATTAAAGTTCACCTAACCTACGAGTGAAAAGTTTATCCACGTGGACGTGAATTTCCTTCCAACCATAGCGATTAGGATATAGGATTAAATATTCATTCTTTTGATAACCAAATATCCATTGTCACCGTTTATTTTTACCCAACGACTTGCAAAGTAAAAAATTAAAAAGTGAATATCAATTATGAAGGGTATCGTATAATACTAATTCGTCATATTCTTTTATGTAAATCAATCATATTTTTTAACCTATTCTAAAAATACATTCGTATATATGATCCAAAAAAGATATAAGAACATTTCGGAATTTATTAAATTAAATATTAGAATTAGTTTGGATTTTTTTTGGGGAATTTCAGAATCAAAATAACTTTAAAACTTTAAGATCATTAATCAATAAAACGTACAAGTTTTATTATACGTTTATTAAAGGTTATTTTAACTTAAAAGTTTTGGATCATCATCATATTGATTTTATACACAATTTTCAACTGTATTATTCATTAAACCGAGAAATTATCATAATATTGTAATTACTGTTACCTCAATTTAAATAATTGAATATATTGTCTATCATAGATCATCAAGCTATAAAGAAGCTATACAAAATAAAATTCAATAGCAAAAAATTGTATAACTCATTTAATTATAATTTAAACGTTTATAGTCATCATGATGTCTTAAAATTTGAAATTTAATCATATAAATATCACTCATTCTATATTATGCAATAAAACAATTTCAGGAAAGAATGGATTTTTTTTTGAATTAAAAATGTATTAATACACGTAAAATCAATAAGAGTGGAGATTGATTGTTCATAACAGGCATGAGTGGAGGCAAGTTACAATGAAAAAAAAACGTAATATCTTTATAAATCTTATATCATACCAATAAATATGACCTGTGTCATTTTTATCAAATGTATGGTTGTAATACAATTTTTTAGTTGATCACATAATTATCAATTACAAGGAACTGAAAGGTATGCATTTTACGACTTGTGTGAAAATCTTATACTTATAACACCAATGAATGTAATTTTTATTTTAACATTTTAAATAAATAGCAAGTGATTTTTAAATATTTAAATTAAAATGTTAAAGTTGAAATTTGAATCCAAAATAATAATAAATAGCCTACTCACCTATATCTAAAATAAACGATAACATTCGAATATCGAATTGGTTCCTGGTCTAATTTAAACTCCTATGTTAGATATTTTCTAATATATTCATCATGCTTCACTAAGTACATTCTTGCATTCCAAGATGAATTTTGATATGTATCGTATTTTTAGATGATTTCGGTTATTCATCTTAATTTTTTAACTATTGTTCATATGATTTTAATTCATTCATTAAATAATCCAAAATCCTATCGTAAACTTCAAACCTTACCGCATTTGATTGTACGATAAACATATAAATCGATAAGTACTCCTTTTAAAATTAAACCCATGTCGCATTATCAAGGTGCCCCTAAACCATATAATTTGCCAGTTGACCAATTGAACAATAAACAATATTGTCAGGATAGTTATTTAAAGTTTACTTTGATAATATTTATTTACATACAATTTTAGTTGAATGTATATATATATATATATTTATTTAATCTGCTGTTCGTTCTTGTTTGAATAATGGATAAAAATATTTTAGGAAATAAATTATGTACAAAAATACGATAAATTTCGTAAAATGTATAAATTAAGTATTGTTAGATTTCGTCGCACAAAGTTACGAAAATCTAAAATGGATACTGGCATAAGATATATTCTACAACAACAAGAGTACTACAGAAAACTATTATCATCTGAAATATAATTTTCAATTTCCGTTCTTAACAATTTTACCGAAAATCGGTTTAAAAGTTACCCGTCTGACTTATTGAAAACACCATTTATGTCGATTCTCTAACCGATAAATGAGGTGTATAAAGACTGCTGAGCACATTTTCCAACACAAAAGTACATCGTTGTAAAACCAATAGTTTCTTTGTTGTACTCGTAATATCAAGTGTTATGTGAGTTCTGTGCAATAACGGAGGACCGTTATGAGATTACTTTCACAGGCAGATTCGACAAAAGCAATTTAATTGATTGTCTATATGTGTTGTAACATGCATTGCAAACCAAACTGAACGATAAAAAGTCATTCATTAACAGTTCTGATACTTCACCGATATGAGATATTTTTTATGATATACCAAATTAATATATTTAATATTTATCTAAAAAAGTATGGATAGTATTATATGAGTTAATATACCTTATTTTTGAAAAATTCGAATTGCCGAACCTTTTTAACTGTGGATTTTTGACATTCTTTATTTGTTTTATAGATACGAATATTCTAAATCGATCTGAAAACAAAAAAATATATGTTGTATTATTATCTCTTTAAAATTAATTTAGAGTTTAAAGTTTAATAACTATTATACATATATATATATATATATATATCTGTCTAACCATACCTATTTTTAAATGTTCATATTATTTACATAGAACACCGAATAATTAATAAAACCAACCACAAGTTAATATAATGAAATATAAAGAATGAAATTATTAAATAATTAAAATTAAAATTTTTAAGAGAAACCAAAACTTTTGCCATTTAAGATAATTTTACATGAATGAAGATTTACCATTTAAATAAAGAATAAATTCATGGTACATTACATACGAGCATTATTTTATTTAAATTACTAGCTGTACCCGTACAAATTTGACCGTAAAAATAATCGCAAGTCAAAAACATTTAAAATTTTCATTTTTATTGTTAAAAACAATACAATTTATTGAATAAAAAAATAAATATTTATTACCTGTGTTTTTATCTTTTTTTATATTTTAATTGATTTAATGTACGAAGCGCAAAAATTAACGTTCGTGTATGAAAGAGTGGATAAATAAATTATATACAATAACCTTCCTTGGTTAATTATCCATTTAACTATATAAACCACATCGATCCACATAAGCCGTTTCGGAGTTTATCCCGAACAAAAATAAGTGACTTTATATCATGTAATGATTTTTAAGAATAAAACAATATATCACTAGAATTACATTAACTGTTTGTTACTAAATTATAACAAAAATTAAAGCTCGATATTTATTACACATATCGTCATTATAGGGCACTTCAAGACGATCGCGTCCGTTAGATCCATGAACATGGAAAAAAACTCAAAGAATGCGAACATTTTTTAATTTAACTTAAGAGTATGTTGATATGTATAAGACAATTTTCCAACTTACAGTCTATGAGTAATAATTTTTTTCAGCGGAAAATTTTTCCGATACCGATGTACATTTATATTTTATACCAACAGATTTACTATACTATACTATACTGTACTATACTGTGTATTGTTCAGACATGTCATAAAATATACAAAATAAACAGTAAATCTGCGTTGTACATTTTGAATATTTAACGTTAGTACCTAAACATATTGGTAAAAAAAATTACTAGCATACGAAAATAATTAAAAATATTACGATTTATCTCACAAAATTTCAAAATTCGAAGTTTTTGTAAAAGTTATCCGCTTTATATCCACGATGTTCATTTCCAGTGTAAGATAGATTATTTATTTAGGAATCATTTCTTATTTTTGATGAGGACGTTTCTTTTTATTTAGTAAGGTATAACATTTGAAACAGCCTTTAGCACTAGAAGCGGGTGTAGGTACAATGTAATTAAAAATAAATCGTTTACCTATGTATGTCATAAATTTTATAATTAATAAATAACTAAGCAGTAGTTAAATGAGCAGAAAAAATCGCGCCATTAGCTTCACCTCTAACGTGTAACTAAAGATATTTTAGTTCTTTATTTGCATAGTATGTTTGGGGATTTTACGGATATAATTACAGTCTACATCACAGTGTAGTATAACAATTATTATGTTGGTTGACCAGTTATAAGAAACGTCTTAACGAAGCTCCGAAATGTACACCATCTTGTGGACATCATTTATAATAATTAAATGCTAAATTAACAATTTTTTAATACTTTTTTTATATACTTAAAGATGGTTTGAATACATTTATTAAAACAATTCCTATTGGGTTTTTTAGTTACTTTCAAATTGCTCAGCCCTGTACCTTCTGATAATTATATACATTGTGTTGTGTTTGAATTAAATCACATCAAGGGTTTGTTCAAAGGCTGAAAATAATGCTTAATGCATAATATTCGTATTAAGTAAAATAGCTAACTCATGAATTATTATTAACTTCAAAGTATGAGATCAAATATTTATTCTTTACTTGTTCGATTGGACCGGGTAGACTATGTTTACTATGGTCAAAGTTTCCGTTTAGGTAAAAACACTATCGTAAAGCAGTTTCTAGATATAATAATAATAATAATAATAATATTCTATATAATTGCCTGTGTAAGCACAATGTTCACGATTAAGTTTTACAATCAGTATTAATAAACAAGCTTAGAGATATCCGAAGCAAGTAACAATATACAACTCTGGATTAGTTGAGTTCTACGCATATTTATAACCATTTATCATCATTATCTGGTTGGGTAAAATATTTCGAATACATGTATTCGAAAAAACTATCCACCTTCTGCAGAGGGTGGATAGTTCTTCGATGACTTTTTTCCGGAATATTGTGGACGACCGGATTTGTAGAGATATCTACACAAGTTTTTAATGCATATATTTATATATGTGTATACTAGTAATCTCCCTACTCCTATCCAATAGCTCACTCAGTTACACACTCAATTACCAACCTATATTTACTATTAAATTGATAAAGCCTAACTTAGGCCAATGCGGAGTGGGCAAAACCCCGCCCCCCTTTCAATCTATCATTGCATTGAGATGAGATTATTTAAAATACGAGTGAATTGGATTTTTTAATACTTCTATTGTGTCCACCATGTTACAACACGCAAGGCTTATGTTTTACACTGGTTTTATTACATTGTAAAAACATCACGGTCAATTTATCAAAAAATGTTAAGAGCCACACGATTGGCTTTATCTTTCGAGTGATAATATCACGTGCTTCGATAAACGAGAAATGGTGCGAGACGCAATGTTTGGTCTATTCGATATTTTACACAAAAAAACTCAATTTCCGGCATACTGTTATTGTATGTTTTATGCATGCAAATAACCAAACGGTCCACATGCAGCACAGCCCATAACGAAAATATTATTTTT